ACAACAACATGTAAACAACAGGTAAACAACAACACGTAAACAACAGAGGTAACTTCAGGGTTAACTCTGGGTTTCCGGTCCTACGACGCTGGTTCACTTCTTACCGGGGTAGATCTCCATGGTAACTTATGCTGAACACATAACATGCTCCGGAGCAGGTTATACATACACATACTGTATGCAGAAGGATTATTTGAAGCAACACATTAAGTTGAGGAAACACTCGAGTCAAATGTAATGAAAGTCAGATGGTGTCTTAGACGGGGGCAGTGATATCATAAACCTGTTAATGTACGCATTCAAACACTTGTTCTGTTACCAGCTGTATTCACCTTGCAGGTGCAGCTATGTGGCTTTGATCCTGGATAAAGTGTTTAAGTCATGGATGTTTAAAGTTTAACTTCTTCATATGTCTAATATTATAGTTGACTTTTCATTCAGGAAGTATGACGCTGCGCTGTCAGTAGCTTCTCCATGTTTGTGATTGGTCGAATGCTTCAGAATGATACCACCTCTTTCATGTGAACGCGCACTCAGCGGGACAGAGAAACCCTGGCTTGAGTTACCGAGTTGATAACCAGCGTCGTAGGACCGCTTGTTAGGGTTAGTTAAGATAACTAGTTGAACTGGCTTCGTAGTACAGGTTACTGGTAAACAACAACATGTAAACAACAGGTAAACAGCAGGTAAACATCATGTGAACTATAGGTAAACAACAAAGTGTTACCTGGAGGTAGGTGCAGCTTGTAGAGCAGTTTGAGTTTCTCCGTCATTTCCCCGTGATACATCCCACCTGCACACACACACACACACACACACACACACACACACACACACACACACACACACACACACANTAACCAACTGCCATTGTTATTCTTGGCCACTCAACATTATCCTGAGTTGACATGCTACATCATATGTAAGGGATAATGTGCTGCGACGCGGTCATTATGGGGAAAAGAACACCGACAGGCTGATCAGGAGCCCGACGCGAAGCGGAGGGATCTAGATCGGCATGAAGGTGTTATTTTAATGACCAAGTCGATGCACATTATCCCGCTTATTACACGGCCACATTCTCAACAAAGTAACGTTATGACTCCCACTATTAATTGAAATGCTTTTATGGATTTAGAAAATGATTTTATTGATTTAAAAAATAGTTGTATATTGATTTAAATTGACATGCATCCGCTAAGAAAAATAGTCCGTTGTTACCGTTTGAACTAACGTAGCAACGGCAGGAACTGCTTCGATAGCGTTTTTGAGGAGCTTTTTGATTACAGATTTGAAAACATCGCTGCTTGCTTTGAAAGTAGCAAAATTCATTATGTCAAACCTTGGAAAGTATCTAGATATCCCTGCCCTAATGCCAAAGTAACTGCACACTGAATATGTGTCCGTTACTTCTCCGCTGTTTTCTTGTCGCTCTTGTCTTGTCAGTTAGAAAACCAAACTGCATGCAGTTTGCTTTTCGGCCAAACTGTATACAGTTAAATCGAACGGACTTGTTTGTGCAGATGTGAGCGTCCTTAACAACGGTCAATAAGTCCTTGACAGCGGTCTGTCTGTTCGGTATTAACAAAGTGTCACGTGTTCTGAATTGACCAATCAGAATCGAGTATTCAACTAAGCCATTTAATAAATTCTAATAAAAGCCTCAGACTTGGACATTTACTGAATCTATGTTCTTCATTTGGCTGATTGTCTGCTGTCCTTTCCGTTTCATTGCCCCTTCCTGAGCTCAACCATTTCATTGTACAACGAGAGTCAACACATTTATCACAATGAGAGCTGTTTAAGACAGGAGTGACATTAATATTTTAGCATGGGATTATGAAAACAGTACTCACTCCTTGAATCTGGTGGTGACAGACGCAGCAGACAGGGGAAAGAGAAAGAGAGGGAAAGATTAGTGATTATTAGGACCATAAATCACACGGCGCCTCTTGTTAGCCAGGTTTACTTATTATAATTTACAACCCGGTTGGACAATTGGTCTTCATTACAGTAATTTAGCAACATTGATTATTATGCTGATGAATACTGCTCTGTTTTTCCTTTCTTCAAATCTCATCTCCTCGCCTCTCTCCACTTCAGTCCGTTGTTATTCATCTCTCTTCCTCAGCAGGATGAGAAGCTCTCCAAAATGCTCTGATCCAATTTATATGTGTCTGTGTGTGTCTGCTTGTTTATATGTGTTTGGGAGACGGAGGAAATTAATAGCTTTTCACAGTGGTTAGCTAAACAAACTATTAGAATTGGCACCGTGGGACAGGCTGCCATGCTGAATCATCCTGGGAAGTGACTGGCTCAGGTGATCAAATGATAAATGCTGCTCGAGGACGTCCCACGGGAGAGACTTTTCTGACTGTCTGCTTTGGCTTAAAAGAAATTCAAAAGTTTCTTATCTTTGTTAGAATTCCTATTCAAGTTCAAATCCTTCTTCATATGTTTTAAGTACCTAATTCATACATTATACTCTAGTTGTGTTAAATCAATGTTGAAATATATGGTTTATTTTCAGACAACTACAATTATAGCAATGGCTGGAAGGCCTTATCCAAAAATATGTTAGAATGCAAGAGATTTGATAACTGCTATGAGGTTTACACTGTAACAACACATATGTTCCTAGTGACGACTACATCCTTAAAATATTGCCAAAAATATGTAGTATATTTAATAACTACATCTCACAACAGTTGGCCAATGTCATTTTGAGTAAATGCTTATCATCAGGAGCAACCGCTGCATTTGTTGGGCAATATTTTCAGCAAATCAATACTCATTTGGTGTACTCATAACAGTATGGAGACAATAAAGGAATTATAGATTGACTGCGGTGCATAATTTTTGGACAATAATACAAGTCTAAAGCACTGACTAACAAGCTATCAGGCTTTTGATAGACAGGCAATAACAAATAACCTCTAACTGAGGAGTCATTCTCTTTATGGGATTTTTGCTAAAAAGAAAGTGTAGAGTATTAGAAAACAAGCTAATTATAAGTTACATTTCTATTGTCCTTGATTAAGTGCCATTTTTATACCAAAACTCTGAGAAATATAACAAGTAATTCAAACGTACTGTCTGTAAGTGAAGATGACTACAAATATGGCGGGGACGCAGCAGACGATGATGATAACGGCCAGAGCCAGCAGCGCCCCCTCTGTGTAGCCGACCGTCTGCACAGCTTTCTTCACGCTGGTCACCAGTTCAGGGGTTCGGATCTCCAGAATCCGCCCGCCGGGAGGGAGGAAGGGCTGGAACTCTTTATTGATGTCCAAAAGTTTACCATCCAGAAACCTTTGGGGTTAGAAATCAATGATCAAACTGACACCGTGTTTATTTGGTGTAAACAATCAAATCTACAATTCATTAACAACGTCAAATAACGCACAGTGAAGGTAAGAACTATCTGACAGCTAGATGTAAAACAGTTCTCTATGCAGTGAAGTGTTTACTAAGTCAGTCAGTTGCACGGTACAACCATACAAACACGTCTGTCCACTTGTTATACTTACAAATGTGGCTCAGGGGTTTACTGATCTGAAAATCTGATGTTTTCCTGGTTCAATCCCAACCCCTGCAGTCGACTTGTCTTTAGTATTGAAGTGTATCTGAGTCACTTTAGATAAAAACTCCTCACCCTTAAAAAAGCTCTAAGTCAAAGCGAGGACCAGCAAAACTTTGTTTGTACTTTTCTAATTTATTGGCTAAGCTTCCAGAAAGAACTCTCAAAAACTAATTGAGGCCAATTTAATTACTTATTTGCAATGTCATTTGAGTCTTTTCTCATGTTATAATATAAAGACTTTGGAGAGCTGCCATTTTACATCTCATGGATGGGGTAAAGTTCATTATTTTCTTTGGCAGAGCTCTTACTTGTAGAGCTCCTGTCTAGACACGGCTCTGTTTGTCAGCGGGTCGATGGCGTAAATCATGAGGTCAGACTTGGTGTAGTCTTCCTGCTGCATTCCTTCACCATGGCGATGGGGCCCAATGGTTTCCACGACTACCTTTGCTCCCGGTATCTGTTCCTGGACGTATCGTTCCAAAATGCTGAGGATTAAGAAATAAGATATATTCATTGATGGGATAACACAACAGTCACAACACACACATTAATGTACATAAATAAACGTACAAACAAGACTTTTATGACACACCACACACAGAAAAGACATGCGAAAACACACATGTTTTTTCATTTCCTGTAAGCTAGGCAGACTCACGCTGTGCGAAAGTGATTTGTGTCCAACCAGAAACACCTGCACACAGCAGGAACTGAGGTGTGTGCATGTGTGTGAGTAAGAGAAAGAGAATATATCTAAACATTTTTATTTAAAACCTCATTATTAAGTCATTTGAGTAAGCAGGAAACAGACAAAGCTGTGAACAGGCAGAACTATCATAGCGTAGAATGAATCATGCAGTGTTTGTTTAGTAAAAAACACATTTGGCTGACTGTGGGGGAACAGTTCCGAAACAGACTGAACTGAAATTGAGGAAAGTAAAAGTAGCATTTAAGCTGCCACCGGGGTGTTGATAAGGTCATTTCATTCAGTGCTTGCGCCTCATTTCTTTCGAACGTCGAAGGAATATCTTTGACGGTTTAATGTTAGCTTCAAGAGACAGAGGGAGGACTACAAAGGAGCATGTAGTCATTATGTTCTGTGTATAAATCTTGTCTTCTCTATAACAGTTTTTAAGATTATGTGGAGGGTTCAAAAAAGCACAGCTGTCTTTCCTGCCTCTTCCTACAAGTAATGATTTGTTATGTTTTGTATTTATTAAAATTTTGAAAAAGAACATGAGCGTAATGAGCCAGCTGGGTGGGCATGTGTTTCAATAGCAGGTAACAAATCAACATTGTGGAAATGTATCTTAAAAAACATTCCTAAATAAAATATGCCCTCATATTCCCATACAATAATCTGAATACCTTAAACTTCAACAAAGACAAAAAACATGTCAAACATAAAGACAAGCTACATCTGTAAGTTTAGCATTATTATTCTCATTATTACATCAAGACATGTGTTTACCCTGTAACGTAAAGTCCAAGCTTGAGTTCAAGAAAGCACTGACAACTTCATTCTTACAAGGACACTTCATTTTTTCTGATAAAAAACACTATTTATGAAGACTTTTTGTGCTCTCTATCAAGTCTTGTTGATTTCCCCATGGTAGCAATTACAGCTTCAGTCCTTCCTATGGAGACCTGCCATAACTAACTCGATATGGAGAAGCCACTGAATTGCAATACTGCATCACTTAATATACGGTACACCTACTCGAATTAAACTTTTGAACTCTTGCTCACTTTGTAAGGCTTGCACTGACAATTTAAACATGAAAAGCAGGATGTTTTTTCACCTATAAAACTAACTTAAAGATAAGTAGGCGACTGTCACTCAGGGACTAACAATACGTGTCATGTGAGCAGAGGTTCAGAAGGTCATTAGAGAAGATGTAAATCAACGGCTTTCATTGTTTACTTGTTGGCAAATGTTTTTTTCTCTAAGAGCATCAGTAAGCTTCTTTAAAATGACACTCATACTGCAGTACAGCCACATTTATGATTGAATGGTAAATCAACAACAAAGTGCTGCATTTTGCACGTTACCTGAGCAGCTTGTCTTTGTTTTTCTCCACATAGGTGGGAGGGACATTTGATACGACCACCTGCATGTCCAGCTGGTTAACGACTGACACCTACAAAGCAGAAAATACATTTTAAAACAATTCATTTATTCATTTAAACTCACCTACAAACAGCATGTTTAGCTGGCCAGAAGCACTGAACTATAAGTTCTCTTTCCAATATAGCAATGCTTTGACAATTTCAATTTGTTTGATATTTTTTATTTGAATCAAGGTCATTCTGGGAGCTAAATAAATCTGATAGCAATAAAGTTCCACCATGTTGTTAAATGTGGAAAGTGTTTAACATGCAGAAAGCTGTTATAAACCTGCCACCAGTGTGAGCAATATAAACACATACCACTATCTCCGCCTTGCTGCTGTGTCCTTGGCCATAGTTGTCTGTAGCAACCACCTCAAATTTAAAATATGACCGCCTCATGTTGCGGTACATGATTGCCGTCTTCACCACGCCGCTGAAAGGTTCGATGATGAAGCCACCTTTGCTGTCTTTAGTGTTTTTACCGGCGGGAGGGGGAATGATGAGCCGGTACATCATCGCGCTGTAGTTCCCGGTGTCTTTGTCCAGGGCCTGTGAAAAGAGGGAAATACAATCCCGACCGTGTGATTATTCTAATCATCATAGTGACACCGCCACAATATCTTCATCATCATAATCACCAGTATGATAAAATGTCATCAGCACCAACACTGTGATCAAGTCATTTATCGCCATTATCTAAACAATCAATTCTATGATGCGTGATTACCATCATGATTGTGAGCCCATCTCCTTGATTCAATGTGTTTGAGGGGATAACAAAATGCAGCTGTCATGTTTATTGATTAGCTCAGAACGGATACCATGTCTTGTATGTGTCACTCCACCAACAAATGATATATATAATTAGGGATGGTATCGTTAAGGTTTTAACGGTACTACTACTTTTATCGATACCACTTATCGGTCCGGTCTTTTAACAGTACTTTTATCGGTTCTGTTGGAGAAAAAAATAAGGTAAACTAACTAAACAAATTGTGAACAAAACTAACATTGCTTTTTATTTAAATTAAATAGATAATATTTCACATTAAAAAAAACAACAACGTTTTAACAAATCGTATTAGGCTAAATAATCTGATGACTAAACAGAATAGCTGAAACTTTAACAAACTAAATAACTCAGTTACCTCTAATCATTAACCCATGTTTGTATAATGTAGTTAACTCTCAGTGTTGCTGCTAGCATACATAATACCTGACGTGGAAACGTTACTCGTGGATGGGGCTACAGAGCTACTAGAAAGACAGTCGAACCCGGTGCATTTCTCCGTCTGAATGTGGTGCACTTTTGCAAGATGTTTGGACAAATTGCTCGTGTTACCGGCCTTACATGCTAAACTCTTATAGCACTTTAGGCAACGAGCATCGTGACGGGTAAAGTTTAACCACACCTCGGAGCGCGTTCTCTCCGCCATCTCCTCCGTGTGTGTGTGTGTGTGTGTGTGTGTGTGTGTGTGTGCGTGTGTGTGCGCGTGCGTGCGTGTGTGTGTTGCTGCATGTAGCAGCTGCGTGTGTGTAAACTGCGTGAGTGTACACAGAGATCGAAAATACTAAAAATAATCATAGACGCATTTTGCAGTCTTTTTGCATGTTAGAAACGGAGTTGGCGAAACTCAAACTGCAATATAATGTTTGTGTAGCAATAATACATTTTGTACATGTCTCCAGTACCGATAAAAAGACCGCTAACGTCGGAGCTTAACGGTACCACGGTCTTTAATAATTCAGCCCCGGGCCCGTTTAATACCGGGGCTCGGTACCCATCCCTAGTTTTTCTAATATGTGTGTTGAATTTCAATAAGTCATAAAAACGGAAATTTTGAGTCATCATGGTTTAAGAACAAATGAAACTAAATGGGAGCGCGGTGAGGCTCCTCC